CCCGCCTCGGCCTCCCAGAGAGCTAGGATTACAGGCGTGAGCCACCGCACCCGGCCAAGGTGACGATTTTGAAGTGAGGGGTTCTAAGAGTCTTGGGATGTAAACTGTTTATGCTTTCTGCTGAAGTATTGATGGGGAATTTCTTTAAAAAAGTTTCTGCAATGAACGATAAAGTTATTTGCCTGGGCAAGAATCTCCTGGGATAGTAAACTTATATTAGTGAAGGCAATGGACCAGTAAGGGTATATTACTATTAATATAAACAGTAAGCTGTGTGTGTAGGGAGGAGGAAGAGGAGATGGTTTCTGTTCTCAGAGTTGACTCCATCCTTTCTTTTCTAACGTCTGTTTCATATTCAACATCCTTAGTCAGAATACCTAATCTAGCAGGCTTTTATTTTTCATTTTGCAAGGACATTGCAACACCTCCAACCCCAAGTCCCTGATGTCCATTCTAGCTTTCATTCCACTCATACAAGTAACAATAATAAAACCATTATTTATAGAACCCTCACTGTGCGAAGGCCACATATAAAATCCCTTAGAGATATTATTTAATCCTCATGAAAGCCCCATGAAACAGGTCCTATTGTTATCCCTATTTTATAGAAGAGGAAACTAGCCCAAAGAGGTCAAGAAATTTCTCCAAAGTCATGTAGCAAGAAGTGGCAGAGCCAAGGTTCTCTCTCAGGCCCGTCTGACTATTCAGCAATAAAAAGGAGCAAACTGTTGATTCACACTACAGTGTGGATGAACCTCACAGACATCACACTAAATTAAAGAAGACAGACACAATAGACTACCTATTACATGATTCCATTTATGTGAAATGTCCAGATAAGGCAGATTAATAGATAGAAAACAGATCAGTGGTTTCTAGGCATGAGAGAAGGAGTGAGGATTAGCCATAAACAGGCATGTGGTCACTTTTCTCACTGATAGAAATGTTCTGAAACTGTGATGATGGTTGCACAATTCTGTGTATTTACTAGAAACCATTGAACTGTACACCTACAATCCGTGTATTTCATGGAATGTGAATTCTTCTTCAATAAAACTGATTAAAAATTGCAGAGGCCAGATTCTAAGCTTTCTGATCGGCATGACCAATGACTGGATGTGGATCCCTTTAGGAGCAAAGCCTCAGATACCATCCCTAAGGAGAAAGCCTGCAGGTCTCACTGGGTTCTTATATACCCTATTAGCCAACGTACCTATGTTGAATCCATTTACTTTTACTGGTGAGAGTCCATTTCTAACAATCACTAATTTCACTAATGCAAACTGTGTATTCTTGATCAGTATGTATATAAACCTAAGTATGTAGGTTACGAACACACGATTATCACACCACATATGCAGAAGAGTCTTAAATCGCTGAAGTTACAAAGTAAACCCAAGTGAACTGTGAAGACTCACCACCTCCACTACATCTGAAATAGCAATGACAGAAGGAAGAGCCTCACCGCCCATCTT